TCTCCAATATGGAGATTCTTCCACTATGCAAAAGAATAGCAGGATTATAAGAATGTAATTACAAAATTGACTCACTCTATGGTGGCACACTCAAAACTTGAGACTATCTCTCTTCTCTCACAAAGAGGCTTTCTCACTTTCTCACTCTAAGAAGTGGATTCACTCTTGGCTTGGATTGAATAGGAATGAAGCCTCCTACCCCTATTTATACTACTCCACCTTCAAAATGAATGGTGGGGATCAAGGGTTGAGATTGGTTCTCTAGAATGCTACACATTCCAGGAATCTCTACTCCCTTCTATATCCTTCTATACTCTTCCATAAGGTTCCGGAAGGCTCCACACATCTCTAGAATGTTCCAGAGAGTTCCACACTATTCCACAAACTTCTAGAGAATTCTACAATTCTCTAGGATTCTCTAGAATGTTCTAGAAAATTCTATACTTCTCTAGAAAGCTCTAGAATTTTCTAGAACCTCTCCAATTAAGGAGGGATCCTAACAATTACAGGAAAGGCTCCAACCTTAATCTATAGTAGCTTTGCTAGGAATTTATATTCCGATGATTTCAAAATCAACCTTTGTAGCTTCCAACAGTAGTAGAATTAGTTTCATGAGTCAGACTTGCAAAATTTTTATAAGCATACATAATATACACTTAGAAAATTATTCAAACACACTTTTAAAATATCATTTCCAAATACAAACCATTTCTTTTACTTGTTTAAACTCATTCTTTCAAGAAATAGATCCATAATGGTCATCTTTCTATTCCAAACTTAAATTTAGATAGAAAAAAATCTTGAAACCTGATTCTGACTTACTACAGGCTTGTGACCTGTCAACTTTCGCCCAGATGGAACTCGTGCCACAGATGTAGCTGCTGCCACAGATGTAGCTGCTGCCACAGCAGCCCCGCGTATTCTGCCAAATTCATCAATATGCATTCCATATCCATTTTTTTAGTATCCACTTAAAAACTATGGAAAATAGAGATGAAGAAAAATAAACTACAGTTTGTATCACCTTCTATGTACATCTATATACACATCAGTCTCATCCACAATTTCTTCCTGCATGGATGAAAATTATTAGCAAAATTTCTTGGTTCAAGTAGATTGGTGAAACATTATTTGCAGATAATCCATAATTCCTATTCTGTCTCAGTCTGGCAACTAAAGACATACAAGATATGATTGGTGCAATTAAGGCTACCTGCAGGAGTTCTTCAAACACGTCCTCCAGGGTAATGATGCCAATAACTTCCTCACCGTCTTCGGCGTTGTCAAGAGAGTGGTGGATACCATTTGTTGAAGTGCCATCTTTTTGAAATTGTTTGTCAATATTGATAACAGTATTTTCTGATTTCTCACAAAACCTGGCTAGTAATGGCATAGTTAGTTGAGAAGTATGTTTGATGACTTCTTTATCCTTTGATTTCTCACTGTAACCAGGTTTTGGAGGGTTGTTTTTCTCTCCTATAACCCTGACTACTGCTGCCATATGGCTGCTTCCTTTTTGAAACTCATTGAGGATATCGTATAAAGGCATATCTGCTGGAACCCTGAAAATTATTTATAATTATGAAGAATAATTTAGTTCAATGAATGAGTTAGAAAGCCCAAATACCAGGGCAGCATTGGTCAAACCTAGGAATTCTCCGGATTGAAACAGCACTAACTGGAGTCTCTGTTTCAGCTCTTACAGTAAGAAGGTTTTTTACCTAGCAAATTAAGAGTGACAAAATGTTTTTATCAGCTAGTATCAGAAAAACAGTTTTTTAAGCATTTTGGATACACTATAAACACTCACTAGTAAGAGGCCAATTATATTTTTGGGGTTTCCGCTGTATACAGGGACACGACTATGACCTCGTGCAAGGATTTTCCCAATTGCTTCCCTGTAATAAAGCAGAAAAAAAATAGTTCAGCTCCAATGTATTTTAAAAACTGGACTAAAAAACTGGTGAACTGGTCTGACCGGTTCAAATGAACCACAAAATCAGCCTAACAAAAAACCGGTTTGAAGTGGTTCAAAGAAAGGTTTTAATACAATATTATTTTAATTTTTTTCCTAAAAAATAAAATCAACCTAAAGTATTTATCATTTTCCTTACTATTCTAAATGTAAATTAATTATTATTATTATTATTATTATTATTATTATTAATGATATTAATAATAAACATTGACGTGTATATATTTTAATATAAACATGGAAAGCAAAAGAAAGGAGAAAACTATTCACATATATAATTCAAATACACAAGTTCAGTTTAATAAGAGATTGATTGAGTGAGGTAAATGTGGGTCAGGTAAGCTGATATCAAGTAATCCACAATAATATGGTTAGAAATAACTTGACCTTCTGTGACTGCTTCATAGATCTGAACAGAAAAGCTAATAGAAAGAAACGCACCAGTCCAATTTGGAAGCAACATCCAAGGAAAATGTTGATTCAATTGGTGTCATAGCCTCCTGTGCCGTCTGCATAACATTGTAGAAATATTTTCTATTACACAACAAAGCCAATATAATAGATATATCTGGATTTTAAATTTATCTCGAGACCGAAACAGTGGACTGGCCAGAAAGAGAAGGAAAAGTATTACATATCCATAGAATGCTATTACTGCTATTGTTACGGTCAAACAATTAAGAGAACCCAGCTTATTAACCTCATCAGAACATGTCATCTTGCTAAGTAAAGGAACTGACATGGATGATGAAGCATGGAAGATAAATAAACAAAGAATTCAAATTTGAAAAGTAAGTCAAAATGTCAAATGACAGTTGCTTCTTAGTAAAAATAACGTGCCCTCCTAACTTAAGTGCTCATGATAGAGTCTTCATGCAAAGAACCAGCATATCATAGATTTAAGGGGGGCATAAATTGTCTCATCGGCACCATATATACTATACTTTTCTGGGTATATCAGATGTAAATTTCATGACATTCGTATATTCTGATGTAGGGGGTCTTTATGGAAATGTCAATTGTTTTACTCTTTGTTACAGATAGATGGCAAGAGATAGAGCAATCAGGATACCTTTCTCCAAATAAGTAGTAGTTACCTTCTCTGTGAGATCTAGTGCTCCACTGATAATTGTTGCCTCATCATGAGTGAGTTCACCTCCTTTTCCAGCCTTATATGGTCAAGAAAATGAAGTTAAGGGAAACAGCAAAATAATTGAAGAAACATAAAATTTTTGCATGGTGACTATAGCAGCATTCCTTTATACAAAAAAAAATAAAATAAAATTTTAACATGGTAATAAATTAAAAAACTATTACTGGAACATATTTTCAGGAAAATCGGTGGTTGCTCAATTGGAAGCTTTACAAAATGCACGGTGATTCAAACAGAGTACCTCTTGGCTATGGATTGAAACAAGGGCTTTCAGCTGTGCTCGCCTAAACAGTGCATGACTGTGTCCAAGTAAAACATCCAGAACCTGGAAGCATAAATGTAAAGATCTACAAAAGCCACAATTTGTTTTGAATAAAATTGTCCGTTACTATGAACTGTATAGCAGATGCCTCCAGAAAAAACAAAATAGCTTAATATGACTACTGAACGATTCAACCTAAGATAACCTGATCCAAATTGTCTTAAATCACCCTTTCAATATAGGGCAGAAGGTTAAGGTTACCATGAAATCGGGAAAACTGAAAGAATAATGTATCTGAACATACCATTAGATAATCAGAATCATAAAAATTATAAGCAAAATTCTAATGGATGGGTGAAGTTGTGTATCAACTTTATGGTATATTTGGAAATGATGCCATTAGCATATAATTTCTTCAATTAAAGTTAGAATTTGGACAATCATAGTGTTCACCTTTCCAATAGGGTAAGCAATTGGGTAACAGATAATCATCAGGACCCGTACAAGCCCCACAAAATTAGCACCAACATAAAGTCCATATCTTGTGCATATAGCTTGTGGGATAACCTATGCCCAAGTGGCACTGTAACAAGTCAGTGCAATGTCCTGCTTAAAGCCTTGTGTGTGGTGCTAGCAAACTGGATTTGAAAAATATTATACCTCTCCGAAAGCTAGAACGAAAGTCACAGATAACACTACTGCTACAAAAGGATGAAAAATCTTGTCAAGGTAAATTGGAAGTGCCTGCAAATCAAAACGGCAGGAAAAGAAACACAAAAAATGAAGGATCCACCAATATTCTTAGTTGTTATAACATAAGCTAAACAAAAAGCAAAATTAACATAATTTCTTGGATTTATGTATTACACACTGGCTATTTTAGCTCTTTTCTTGTTTAGGATCATCATTCTTCTTGTATAAAGGGAATAAGTGCCATCAGTTTCAAATTGACTATGTCATAATCTAGTTCAATATAAAGCATATATTTACAATTTTCAGTACATATTGAGAAGATCAAGATGTGAAGTTACAGATTAATTGTAGGCTTAATCTAAAACTGATCCCAAAACTAAGAACAGAGATTTCTCTTTCATTTTCTTCACCCTAAGTTCTCACTTCATTAGCATTGTATTTTTGTAAGAGTTGTTTATAGAAGCATGACTTGGTACAAGTCTAAATTAAATCCACAGTTCAGAAAATAAAACAATAGGTAAAGAAATGATTACACTCTCGGAGTATTGATTATATCTCATTTGAAGAAATTTTCAATTTTCTTTAAATAATACTAACAGCAATTATATAATTTACAAGCAGTGAGGGTGCAACACTTTGTACACCTGAGCAAAGTTGAATTAACATTAAATCCATAGATTCTCCAATGGATACATGCCAGCAAGACATTCCAATTTCCAAATTCAAGGTGCTGAAAAACTATTAGGTATTCCTGTACTACCACCTGCCCATGATCCCAACCAATGTCTACATAACATTTAAATTTTACAATTTACGATTAAAAACAAGAATTAATAGCACTTGATTCCGTGACATGCAAATATTACCAAGGATCATAATAGTCCAAAATTACCTAATAATTGCTCATAATATCCTAATATATCATCATGTATCTGAGTTACTGAAAGGATCGGTAATATGGTTGGTTGAAGTATTAATCCCTTTTAAGCAAAGGCCAAGAATTATTAAAAGGATCAGGGAATACAATTTCTTCAAAAAGAACAAAACTCACTTAGGATAAAAAAATAAATAAATAACATATGAACATGTTGGATGATCAGCAAGAACCCTATGAAGCAGGATTATCAGACAGCCAAAAAAAAAGCAAACCCATTTCATCAAGGACTAGAATTCCCAAAAAAAAGTTGCAAACAAGTACCTCCATGGCACAAGCGTTACAAAGAAGCAAGGTGACAAGCAACTGATGCTGTTTCTGAACAACGGGTAGAATAGCAGCTGCAGAGTGAACCCAAAAGTCAACAACAGAAGAAGAAAAGCACAAGGTTACTACAAGAGAATTGGTTGAGAACGTTAGGTAGGGGTACCAGCTTGTTTCTTCTCAGTGGAGGAGCCACTCCGCTGGAGAATCTCAAGGTCAACGAGACCCAGAGACATTAAACCAAGTGTGAGACCAGACATAATCCCAGCAAAGAAAACAAGGAGGCATGAAATTCCAGCATAGAAGAACCACCAGAGTGTCCCAAATGGAATATCCTCTGCATCGTACACGAAGCTCCCTGGTTGGAACTCCCTCATGGCAAGGTTCGGGGCATGCAACATGCTCTATCGCTTACAGTTCAGGAAAGAGAAAACAAAACAAACCCCGCATTATATCATATAATACTTCACTCTAGTTTACATAGTAAATACATGATACTAAAATTTAACAACATGTTAATCTACCGTCCATCCTATGATCATTTTCATCGTGGCAAACGTTACGTGTATCATAATCTGTCGTTATCTGCTGTCTTTGTAACTTTTGGTGCGTTTTTATTGCGTTGGGACCGATTGTAACTTCATCTTCTTACAGGCCTCCCATTCTTTTTTCTTACAAAAATACTCATCACAAAAATGTTTCTGTATCATATCTTAACTATAACTTCAATGGTTATGTATTGAAATACAACCTATCGCATATTAATGTTGGTATTACCTTTGCTTATTTGCATGTTCATCGTAATACTAAATTTGATTTTCTTAAGAAAAAAATTTAACTTTTCAATTTTATGGATAGGAAAAAAAAACGTAATTAAGATAGAACATCCTATTAAAATTGATAACGGTGATTAATTATTGATAAATATTTTATATTAATAATATAATTATAAAAAAAAAGTTTATCATATATGTTATTATTTATTAGATGATAATATAAAATTACTTTAAATTATCCATATATATATATATATATTATATACTTATGTTCTCCTAATAAAAACTAGTTTTTGATATATACAAAGATAAGAAGTTATAGTAACACTTTTTAATAGATCTTTCTAACACAGTTAAAAGTTTAAAAAAACTGCACGATCAATACAGTAATTAATAAATAAAGAATAGACCTATCAAAATTTTCAATTATTAATAAATTTCAGCCCTTTTTGTTGTGTTAGGAAGGCCCGTTTATGTTAAAGTTTACGAACTGTGACGTGAGGCCCTTTTAGTTTTTTTGTGCTGAATGGTGGTATCGGATTCATCTTTAACTGACCCAATAAAATTAAAAGAAATTTCATCTTTGAGAACTGGCATAGTTAGATGAGTTGGTTTCTCTTTAAATATGAGGGAGGATTCCAGTGCTAAAACTGAGAAAGTTCTAACTCAGTTGAGGTGCATGTATTATTTTAAAATTGCAGAATAATTGGCACCTACCCTTTTATTTTATTGAAAAAAGATACAGTACAAGTTGATTGTTTCGTACTTTATCTAGTGATCAAGATTCGCAATCCCTGTCTATATTATTGTTGACACCAATTTAGTGTATGTAGGACAGAGAAGAAAAGCTTTTTGGAAGATATATGTCCCTATACCCTACTTGATTTCAAAAGAAACGACAAAAATCGATCTTCAAACAAAAAGAGCCAAGTATATTTTAAAAAAATTTGATTTGAAATAAAACTAATTTTGATGTCAAATGATTTATGTTTGAATATAATTATTTTAAAAGAAAGCTGGAAGTAAGATTTAGTATAAATTTTTTTATCTAGCACAAAAAAAAATAAGCTTTGTAAAATTGATTTTGAATTAACTGGATTTTATAAAATAGATTTTGATCAAAATTAGTTTTAAAGTGAAGTTATTTATGCTTGGTAATTTTATCTTCAAAGCAAGTTGGCTGACTTTTTTAAAACAGAATCAAACAAAAAATTCAGAATAAATAATCTTAAAAGCAAGTTGGTAGTAAAACACAATACCAAATTGTTATTTAACAAAAGCTACCGTCAACTCAATTAATTTTAAACCCAAATTAAAAATCAATTTTTCAAAAGGGGACCAAACTTACTAGTTGTGATATTTAACATAATTTTTTTTTCATGTTTAAGAATTAAATATAAGCAATAGAGTTTAAAATAAGATATTATGTGTATATTATTTCAACTCATTTCATTAAACCGATTCTAATAATTTATTTAACATAAACATAAATAAATAATTATGAATTCAAGCATCATTACACTCACATCACTATATTGAATTTAGTGGTTCAGTTAACATGAATTTGAATGAAGAACTATGAATCCAAACAGCACTGAGCATAAGTTTGCACACTCATTCATTATTTGCATTTATATAAAAGTTCACGTTAGAAAATAGAAATGCAGCTTTTAGTTGCTTTAACAAATATGCGCGTTAGAATACACATAACGCAAAACCTATCATACGGGACTAAGGATCCATTTTCATTTTTTGTTTTCACCTTTGAATTACAAAAGTGCCTGAAACATTGTTTTCAATTTGTTTTCTATTTTCAAATATTTGTAGAAACATTGAAAATAAATTTTGTTTATTTACTCTTTTTCTTGTTAAATATTTGAAAATAAGAAGCCTATCGAAAAGAATGTGATAATTTTGTAATTAAAATATAAAATATAAAATAAAATCACAAGTAAACGATCCCTAAAATTGCTTCTACTCAAATTAATTTTAGACCTAAAATCAATCTCTTAACATGAGTTGATATTTTAACTATAGTTTTGGATAATTTAATAGAAATTCAAATACACACTAAAAGTGTGTTACTGTTTGGCCTTGCTCATGTACGTGTTTTTCACATTCCACCAAGACGAGGCTATAAATGTGCAATAACAAACTGTGATTGGTGTCATTGAATTTGAATGCTTTCTAAGGTCTTAGGTAGGGATATAATGAAAAGTGTGGTAAAGCAGTAAACCAAAAGGAGACTGAACTGTGATTGGAGTTAACTAAAATGGAGGGGGATGAATTTCTTCGGTAGCATCTAACCTTGAATTAACATTTTGTGATGATTGTCCTAGCGCATCATCAAAGTTTGATAAGTGAACCACACACTCTAAATGATCTTGTGTCAATTTGTGTGTGGAAATTAGATTGCAGTTAAAACCAAGAATGATTAGCACATTTGTCAATTTAATATTTCTATCGAGACTTAGACTTTCGATTCTCTCTACAAGCATAACATCTCCGATCGGCATCATTATGTAGAGAGGTTTATTAAGTGTTTTTTATCCTCTAAAGTTGAGGAAAAGGGAGTCATATGATAAGATGCACCACTGTCCAAGATTCATTACATCATTATATTATCGATCATGATTGATGATCATGTGTTCTTTAGTTGCATTCCATGTAGAGTGTGACCTACATTAGTCACTTTCATATCTTCTCTGTCTCTTTGATCTTTATCAACTTGAACTACAACAACATTTTCTCCCAATTTGTTGCTTCCACATTATGTCACGTGAGTGTCCCAATTAGAAGGATATTCGACTGTTTATTCAAAGCATTTTGCTTTAATGTGTACAATCTTCCCACCATGATCACACTTGTGCCTTGATTTGTCTCTTCTTTTCTTTATCTTTGTCGAACGCAATCATGTTTAGTAATTTTCTTCATTGAGAACTACCACAACTAAGGACAATATTCCTAGATTATCTGATGAACTAAGATAATATGAAAAATTTTGGTCATCATTGGAGGTGTGAATCTTCATTTCTATATTGGTTTTCTCAAGATCTTTTTACTCTAATACTATGTTGATATATGGTGCAATATATTAAATCAAAGAGATACAAATATTTATAGCAGCAAAAAGATAAACAAAAAATTATTTCATCTAATAAAATCTTGTATCTTATCTCTAATTACCTTATCATCTATCTCTATTTAATTTTTTATAACTTTTATATGTAATTACCTTATTATTTATTTCTTCAATTTGTTATAATTTGAATTTTAAAACTCATTTATCCTCTAATAACAAGTAATGCCAAAAGATCCAAATTCATTGAAAAAGATTATAAGGAGCTGGCAATTAATTAGCTTTGTAGCTTGAGTAACCTCATGTAGACATCACTACGTACATGTGCAAAAAAATGTGACATTTACTTTCGTACCATTGGCTTTACCTCTATCTGTGTGGTGTTGATCTGATGGATCAATTAATGTCTATGCACATGTACGTTTCTCTTTTGTATCCTCAGGACTCGTGCGTTGTTCACTTAATATTATCCTCTAGTGTTTGTAGGTGAAAGCAGAAAAATTGACATATATAGCTCAATCTTCAACCCCTCCAACACGCATGACTACATAGTTTATGAGTAAACAGAAAACACATTTTTTTTATTAAAAACTCTCCCAATATATGAATATATATAAGAAATTTTGTCACAGAAGCGCCGCATTCCCTCATAATTTCTGCCTGCATTATCACAAACACCGTTTAACTACATTCTTGGAGAGTAAATAATTAAATATTTGTTCAGGAACAAGGTAGGTGGCTAATTGGAACCCAATTTAGAACCATTTTCACGTACGTCACCTACAAAACCATCACACAAAAGGGATGAGAAACCTCAAACAAGAAGCACACTCTTGGAAAAACACATTTTAACTGCTACTCACAAGAAAGAAACATCCCTATATAAACAGCCCTAGGAGCCATATGAACATTAAAACTGTGAGGATAGAAAGAAAAGAGAGAAAGCATGGAGATTTTGAATGTAATAACAGCGGCTCTAACATTCCTAGCACTAGTGCCAAAGATGGAGAGCCATAAAGAGCCCTCATCAGTTGTTCCTATTCCAACAACCCCTCGTCCACTTTGTGCATCACAATTTGCCCTAGTGAACTATGCATGTTCGAGGCTTCCATTCAGACATGGAGTACCACCTGATTCTCAATCACCTCCGCCACCCCCTGATGATGAGGAGGGTCACAATGACAACAACAAGGACGACAACCACAATCACAGTCACAAGCACAGGCATGGACACAAACACAGGCACCACCAAACCCCTGATGAAGATAACTGTTGCAGGTGGGCCAAGGAAGTGGACAACCAATGTGTGTGTGAACTTCTAGCGCGCTTGCCACCTTTTCTCATCAGACCCTTGCATCAGTACACGCTCGACATTGGAGAATCATGTCATATCACTTACTCATGTGGTTCGCCAATATGATCCATTCACTGCCACACTTGCATTTTGAGTCATCAAAGTTAATCACTCCAATCTTGTGCTTAGTTTTAAGGATTAACATTATGTTTCTCGTTTCTCGCTTCTAGTCTTGTTATTTAGCTGCTGTTTGCACCCTGAGCCATCATTACTATGGCTTGGTTAATTACTATTTGTATAACCACATTTATTTCGTGAATTATATATCAAATTATATATGAATAGAATAAGTACTACTCTGTCTTTAGATCACTTCCATGCAGCGTCTCATAAATATGAGATGAGATGATTCGGTAAAACGCAAGTAATTAACACTCACAAAATATGGCCATATATCATAAAAGTAAAATAAACACATTAATACAGTGTGTAATTGATTAACAAAAGACACATTAGAATAGAAGTACGTGCGTGTTCTGTTTACATTTCGTATTTGGGGTTGTTATTTGGCTAAAAAATTTATTTTGGTCCTTATAATAATTGTTTGTTTCAATTTAGTCTCACTTTTATTTTTGGTCTCAGTCCATAATAAATTAATTGGTCTCAATTTGGTCCCTAATAAATTAATTGGTTTCAATTTGGGACTTTCGTCCAAATTATTTAAACGGAGTTAATTGTGTGGTCACGTGGATGCCACGTAGATGCATAGGTAGATGTCACATGGATGTCAATTTTTTTGAAAACACCTGGAACCAGAACGGCCCGTTCTGAAATCAGAACAGCAGAACGGGCCGTTCTGGTTACACTTTTGGTGTGTTAATTTTGCATCCGGAACGGCCCGTTCCAGGTGCAAAATTTACACACTAAAAGAGTGCAACCAGAACGGGCCGTTCTGGTTCCAGATTGCTAAGCATAAACGATCAATGATTATAGTTCATGATTGTGAATCATGAAGGAAAAAGACCCAAGGTACAAAGCATTTCAAACACTGAATTTGATAATATTGTCAATGGAAATTGATAACTTCAATTGCTAAACAGTTAGGCTATAAAATGTATTATTAAGGACAATGCAATGTATCACTAAAGACAATGGTAGCAGATTTTATTTCATTTCAAACTGTAGTGAACCACTTACTACCAAATTGACACTATACAGTAAAGGATGAAATGACAGTATTTTTTCTTGAAGTCATTAACGATGTACCTCAACAATAACAACCTGTTCTTGAAGAGGTAGAATCTGAAGTAAAGGAAGAGGATACACAAGAGACTAACATTTCACCACAACCATATGCAAGGACAGATCTAAGTTAATCATAGTGGGAGCACTTGCCCCCACTAAAATTTTTTTCATTCTTTTTTTTTTATATATAAAATATTAATAATTTTATAAAATATATATTATTAATTATATTTTAAT